ATGCCATATTTTCTTTATCCAGTCTATCATTGATGGGCATTTGGGTTGGTTCCAAGTCTTTGCTATTGTGAACAGTGCTGCAATAAATATACATGTGCATGTATCTTTATAGTAGCATGATTTATGATCCTTTGGGTATATACCCAGTAATGGGATTGCTGGGTCAAATGGTATTTCTAGTTCTCGATCCTTGAGGAATTGCCACACTGTCTTCCATAATGGTTGAACTAGTTTACAGTCCCACCAATGGTGTTTCTCCACATCCTCTCCAGTATCTGTTGTTTCCTGACTTTTTAGTGATCACCATTCCAACTGGCATGAGATGCTATCTCATTGTGGTTTTAATTTGCATTTCTCTTAATGACTAGTGATGAGCTTTTTTTCATATGTTTATTGGTCGCATGTCTTCTTTTGAGAAGTGGCTGTTCATATCCTTCATCAACTTCTTGATGGGGTTGTTTCCTTCTTGTAAATGTGTTTAAGTTCTTTATAGATTCTGGATATTAGCCCTTTGTCAGATGGATGGATTGCAAAAATTTTTTCCCATTTTGTAGGTTGCCTATTAACTCTGATGGTAGTTTCCTTTGCCGTGCAGAAGCGCTTTAGTTTAGACCCCATTTGTCAATTTTGGCTTTTGCTGCCATTGCTTTTGGTGTTTTAGTCATGAAGTCTTTGGCCACGCCTTTGTCCTGAATGGTATTGCCTAGGTTTTCTTCTAGGGTTTTCATGGTTTTAGGTCTTATGTTTAAGTCTTTAATCCAAGTTGAGTTAATTTTTGTATAAGGTGTACGGAAGGCGTCAAGTTTCAGTTCTGCATATGGCTGGCCTGTTTTCCCAACACCATTTATTAAATAGGGAATCCTTTCCCCATTGTTTTTGTCAGCTTTGTCAAAGATCAGATGGTTGCAGATGTGTGGTGTTATTTCTGAGGCGTCTCTTCTCTTCCATTGGTCTATATATCTGTTTTGGTACCAGTACCAAAGCATTTTGCATTTCAGTACCATGCTGTTTTGGTTACTGTAGCCTTGTAGTATACTTTGAAGTCAGGTAGCATGACGCCTCCAGCTTTGTTCTTTTTGCTTAGGATTGTCTTGGCTATGCGGGCTTTTTTTTGGATCCATATGAAATTTAAAGTAGTTTTTTCTAATTCTGTGAAGAAAATCAATGGTAGCTTGATGGGGATAGCATTCAATCTATAAATTACTTTGGGCAGTATGGCCATTTTCATATTGATTCTTCCTATCCATGAGCATGGAATGTTTTTTCATTTGTTTACATCCTCTCATTTCCTCGAGCAGTGGTTTTGTAGTTCTCCTTGAAGTCTTTCACATCTCTTGTAAGTTGGATTCCTAGGTATTTTATTCTTTGAAGCAATTCTGAATGGGAGTTCACTCATGATTTGGCTCTCTGTTGTTGGTGTATAGGAATGCTTGTGATTTTTGCACATTGATTTTGTATCCTGAGACTTCGCTGAAGTTGCTTATAAGCTTAAGGAGATTTTAGGCTGAGATGATGGGGTTTTCTAAATATAGAATCATGTCATCTCTAAACAAACAATTTGACTTCCTCTCTTCCTATTTGAATACCCTTTCTTTCTCTTGCCTGACTGCCATGGCCAGAATTTCCAATACTACATTGAATAGAAGTGGTGAGAGAGGGCATCCTTGTAACAGTTTTCAAAGGGAATGCTTCCAGTTTTTGCCCATTCAGTATGATATCGGACATCAAGGTCACCCTGATTTCCTCTCATGGTCCTCCTTGTTAACCCAACATTCAGGTCTTACTGCTATTAACTTGTGAGCATTTCTCAAATCTGATACTTTTTTTTTTTTTTTTTTTTTGAGACACAGTCTCACTCTGTCACCCAGGCTAGAGTGTAGTAGTGTGATCTCGGGTCACTGCAACCTCCACCTCCTGGGTTCAAGAGATTCTCCTGCCTCAGCCTCTGGAGTAGCTGGAATTACAGGCATGAGCCACCACACGCCCGGCTAATTTTGTATTTTTCGTAGACATGAGGTTTCGCCATGTTGGCCAGACTGGTCTCAAACTCCTGACCTCAGGTGATCAACCTGCCTCGGTCTCCAAAAGTGCTGGGATTACAGTCATGAGCCACAGCGCCCAGCCCCAACAGATATCTCTTAAGTACACATCAGTTTCAGGCATTCTGGGTTGTTTAGACTCCCCCACTTTCAAGCCCAGGCTCCATGCTGCTGCTAACGTGATCTTCAAACCCTGACTGGCCCTCACTGGCCCTTTGCCTAAAATCTTCAAGTGGTTCCCCATCATCTTCAGGACGAAGTCCAAACTCCCAAGCATGATGCTCAAGATGCTATAACCGGCCCCTCCTACCTGACTTCTTGCCCTTTCCCAAATGTGTCATGCTCCCTCATCTTCCTTCAAAATATAGAAGCCAGGCAATATTTCAGGTGCGTGGCCCACACGAATGAACAAAACAGAGATCCTGGCCTGTGTGGACATCGTATTCCTATGGGAGAAGGTGAGAGGTAGGGAGGTGGATGGTGGAAGAATGGCTGAGTAATTGGGTAAACGGATGAGATGTCTGATGATAGATGGATGGATGGTGGACATACATGGATGATTGATAGGTAAGTAGATGATTGGTGAATGCGTAGACAGATACAGAGGTTGATAAATGGATGACAGGTAAGTAGATGATTGGTGAATGCGTAGACAGATACAGAGGTTGATAAATGGATGACTGACAGGTAGATAAATAACGAATACACAGATATGCAGACAGATGGACAGAGTGTCGTGTGGTTATAACGGCAGTGGACACATGAGTCAGGATGGGGAACGGGAGGGATTGTATATGAAGAGGTGCCGTATTTCACAATTTTACAGAAACAGGATAAATGAACCATACTTCTCACGTTGGGTCTGGCTTCCCCTCCAGGGCAGAGCCTGCAGTCTCTGAGCTGAAGAGTCGGTCTCCTTTACCCACCCTCCCACTCTCAGCCACTCCCTCTGCCCTGTGCCTCTCTCCCCGACGCCTTCCTGCCTTTGAAGAGGTGAGGTAAGGTGCACAGGTGAACAGAAAACGCGCCCAAAGCCAAGAGATCACCATCTCCTGCTACACCCACCTCTCTCAGGCTTTTATCGAGAGAGAAGAGCGTGAGACAACCACAACCCGCCACACTTATCTCGTAGACTAGTAGCTGGGATTGTGAAGATGGCACGATCTGAAGGTAAACACAGGGTTTATCAACCCTGCTGCAGCATCATGGAGAGAGAATGTAGGAAACAGACGCAATGCTGACTGACGTGGATCTCCTCTCCTGTGTGGTAAGATGTCAGGCCAAAGGTGGGCTTGCATCCTCCTGCGAGGAGCGGCCCCGTGTGATCGTCAGCCATGGGGCAGCATCACTGAATTTCAGTTTCCTCATCTATAAAATGGAAGACAGACCCCCACTGGCTTCCATGAGAACTGAAGCGACGTGAACTCACGCCTGCGTGCACGTTTGGGTGTGTTGTGTGTTCAGACAGGGCGCCTGCACAGTGGCATTGACACACAGTGAGGGAAGCGTTCACCGCAGGCTGAGAGCACGCGGGCACCTCCACACTCCCGAACTCGACAGGGGCCTCCGAGACACTGACGTGAGTAAGAGAAGGTCTCAATATGTGTCAGGGCTTAAGACCTCTGTGAAATAACGGAGGTTGGATTTGGGAGCAAATCCTCCTTCATTCCATCCCTACACGTTTTCCTGGGGTCAAAGCCTCCTTGGAGAAGGCAGCAGGGGGCGCCCTGGAGGTGGCACCAGCTTTTCTTTCAGGCTCTCAGCTGCGTCCTTCTCATTTGCACGGGTGACACTCCCCGAGGCCATAAAACCTCTCTAGAAAGAAGAGCAGAGCCAGGAGGCCAGGCAGATGGTGACTGAGGAGGATGCAGAAGTGGCTGATCACACGAGCCTGTGTGGACCGAGAGATTCGTTACAGCACGACTGACTCACAGCCTTTCCTCCACCACCGGGTGCATTCGGAGACTCACAGCCTTTCCTCGACCACTGGGTGAGTTCCGTCATCCCTTCGACTCCGTTTTTTCTTCTGACACAGGAGACAACAGTCACAACTTCGCCTGATTATCGTGAGAGCTCCCTGTGACAACAACGTGAGAACGCCGGTGAAGGGCATTTGAAAAACAAAGGGATTCCCAATTGGGTCCATCATCAGCGACAAACCCCTGCCCTTACCCATGCCCTGGGAACTACACAAGAATTCACAGGTAATTTTCTTTTAAAGAAGCAACTTTAACCTACATGTTGGGAAAAACCCAGAGTAATTCAAACATCAATCACAGCCTGAGTTTTCGTTGTTTTTGAGATGGAGTTTTCCCCTGTCTCCCAGGCTGGGGTGCAGTAGCATGATCTCGGCTCACTGCAACCTCCACCTCCCAGGTTCAAGCATTTCTCCTGCCTCAGCCTGCTGAGTAGCTGGAACTACAGGTGCCCGACAGCCGAAGTTTTCTGTTGCTAAATTAATGAAATTTCAGCTGGCCACGCCCAGGTGGCAGTGGCAACTCAGGCTCCAGACAGCCCTGCGCAGATGATATCATAAAACACGGAGGAAAAACAAACAGGAAACACATGACAATGTGTGGTTTTCGTTTCTGTTTAGAAAAGTAGACCTGGAAAACAAATCACTAAGGGTAAGGAAAAGAAAAAACTATGCTCGCAACCACAATTAAAAAGTTATTTAACAGTGACGCCTAAAAATGAGAAAAATTTGGCACGAGATTATAATCTTTTTAATTAGTATGAAATTCTGAATAGTAGACAATGTGGGCTTGTAAACCACGTGAACAGCTATGTACCAGACACTGGGGTCTCCCAGCAGGGTGTGTCTGCACAGAAAGCTGGAGGCCCATCGCGTGCTGGAGGCCCACACCCACCGCGCTTCTGCCTCGCCCAGTGGCTGGGCACAGGCACCTTCCTGGCACAGGCGGCAGATGGACGTATTGTCACACCCCACCCCGTGCTTACCTGATCGATAGTGCTCATCTCGTGACCCTGAAGACCTTCGGCAGTGGTAGCGAGAGGCAGAGGAAGCAGTGACAGGAGCCTGGCGTTCTTACAGCAAAGCTTGGTCCACCCCTGGATTTCAGGGAAAACAGCAGTGAGGTGTGGCTGTGCTCAGCGGACTCCAGCAAATCATTCCCTCCATCCCCACAGCAAAGCGAGAGCTATTCACAGGACTGGGCATGGCGGCACCTCAGAGCCCACAGGCAGGAGGGCCAGGACTGAGGGGAAAGCTCTCCCACAGCCGGGCAGACCCCTCCTGCCTGGACGCCACCAAGGCCCCTCTCACAGCACAAGGGTCCACTGACAGGCAGGGAGAGACACAAACTCAGCCACAGGTAGCAACTGAATTCCTGGGAGTTAGAGAAACAGGGCCCAAGACACAGACTCAAGTTATGACCTTTCATGTAATAAATATACAGAATGGGCTGTATAAATTTTTAAGAAAATTTAAAAGTTATTATTAAAGCAATTTTTAAAACAAATCTTACAGGATAATTTAACAATATAATTCAGGTAACCAGGACATACCGTGAATGTCCAACTTTGCTTATTCCAGATTACTCTCTGGAAACTCACTCCATTTGATGCCAAGTGTTAACAGATTATATTCGACTATGAATTACAATTATTTGATGAATTACAAAAAACGTTAATGTGGTCAGATAAAACGATTCAATGGTATTGGTCAAAACACTGACGTGAATCCACCTGTCACAGTACTGGTTATACTCAGGTAACAACAGGGTGGCAAGGAACACAACTGGACGAAACTAAGCCCCCAAAGGAAGGACATCATCATCACGGTTCCATGAAGAACTGCTCTGATACCGTGGGAAAAATGTCAACTCCACAGTTCCGTGAACGACTCTGAAACCACAGAAAGGACGTCATCCTCACAGTTCCACGAAGAACTGCTCTGAGTCCACGTGAAGGACATCATCCTCACAGTTCCACGAAGAACTGCTCTGAGACCACGGGAAGGACATCATCCTCACGGTTCCACGAAGAACTGCTCTGAGTCCAATAGAAAGGACTCCTACCGCCACAGTTCCGTGAAGAACTGCTCGAGACTGAGCACCAATCACTAACAGATGCTTCTTCAGACATGGATCAGTAATATTTGATTGAAACTAAACCAGAAATAAAGCTTTAAGTTAACAAGAAATATTTAGTCCCTGGTTTTCCACTACGGGCTCTTATGACAGCTAAAGAGTCTGAATCTGTGGGCTTCATGTTCCTCTCACTCAGGTGGTTTCTGCACGCCAGCTGCGGGTGTGTGTGAGACTCTACGTATCAGGCTGGTGAGTTCAGAACTAAATGAAGCATAGCTCCACACCCTTGCTACCGCGCTCTCTCACTCCTGTCATTTTGTATAAGTCTCATGTGCCTTTCTTTCAGCAGCATCCAATCACCATCAGTTCCTGAGGAACAAATCTGCTGCTACCAACTCCTCTTGCAATCATTATCTACATGATCCTTTAAAAATGATCTTCACTACCTTTATTCAAACAGATGTATTTGAGAAATCAGAGTGTTACCAAGTCTCACGGAAAATAGTAGTTACCTGGCACTTACGTTCATAAACACGACTTACCACACGACTTCCTGAATTGTCCTTTAGACACCACCCCTTACACCACTGTGGTCATCACGTCAGGGTCTGCAGTGTGCTACAAAAATACCACCCATCTTATCCTTTCAATGATCTCTGAGCACATCTTTATCTATTTTCTATTATCTCTGGTTTTCATAATGGCTAAGCACCCCTTTCACAGTTCTTCCGCAGAACTTCGAAAATCCTCCTACACTTTCGCCCACGATCAAACACTGATAACCTGGGTGAGAATTTCTGATTTTCTCTGAAATCCTTCTTGGAGCCCGCCCTGATCCCCACCATGCCATTGTCACTGGGTGCCCTTTCTTCCTGGCCGTGCTGCTCACTATGTTGGTCACTGCTTTAGCCTTCACTGCTCTCTGCTCTCCCCACTCTCCCATCCTAAAGGAGCACTCGGATTGCCTCAGAAAGGGCTTCATCGCTGTTTCATTTGCCTGAAGAGTCCTCTCCTCTCCTGTTTCATAACCAAACACAGGCGCATTCATCCCTCTGGCTGGGCTGCTTCCTCCACGTGTGCTCTGACCTGGGGCCTGTTTTCAGTATCGCCTCCAAATCTGGAGCCTCCCTGGTTTAATTTCTCCAGATAACACACATGGCTGGGAAGGGGGAGGGGGAGGGGGAAAGAGGGAAGGGGGAAAGAGGGGAAAGGGGGAAGGGGAAAGAGGGGGAAAGAGGGGGAAAGAGGGGAAAGGGGGAAAGAGGGGGAAAGAGGGGAAAGGGGGAGAGGGGGAAAGAGGGGGAAAGGGGGGAAGGTGGGAAAGGGGAAAGGGGAAGGGGAAAGGGGGAAAGGGGGAAGGGGGAAAGGGGGAGGGGGGAGGGGGAAAGGGGGAGGGGGAAAGGGGGGAAAGGGGGGAAAGGGGGGAGGGGGAAAGGGGGGAAAAGGGGGAAAGGGGGAAAGGGGGGAGGGGGAAAGGGGGAAAGGGGAGGGGGAAAGGGGGAAAGGGGGAGGGGGAAAGGGGGGAAAGGGGGAGGGGGGAAAGGGGGGAAAAGGGGGAGGGGGAAAGGGGGAAAGGGGGAGGGGGAAAGGGGAAGGGGGAAAGAGGGGAAAGGGGGGAAAGGGGGAAGGGGGAAAGAGGGGAAAGGGGGAAGGGGGAAAGGGGGAAGGGGGAAAGAGGGAAAGGGGGAAGGGGGAAAAGAGGGGAAAGGGGGAAGGGGGAAAGAGGGGAAAGGGGGAAGGGGGAAAGAGGGAAAGGGGGGAAGGGGGGAAAGAGGGGAAAGGGGGAAAGAGGGGAAAGGGGGAAGGGGGAAAGAGGGGAAAGGGAGACCACAGAAAGGATGTCATCCTACATCATCCTCACAGCTCCGTGAAGAACTGCTCTGAGACCATGGGAAGGACATCATCGTCACAGTTCTGTGAAGAACTGCTCTGAGACTGAGCACCAATCACTAACAGATGCTTCTTCAGAAATGGATCAGTAATATTTGATTGAAAGTAAACTAGAAATAAAGTTTTAAGTTAACAAAAGAAATATTTAGTCCTTGGTTTTCCATGATGGGCTCTTATGATAGCTGTAGAGCCTGTGGGCTTCATATTCCTCTTACTCAGGTGGTTTCTGCACGTCAGCTTTTGATGGTGCGTGTGCAGACCCTACGTGTCAGGCTGGTGAGTTCAGAACTAAGTGAAGCACAGCTCCACACCCCGCCTCCGCCCCCCCACACGCCACCACCTCTCCCACACCGCGCCACCGCCCCCCCACACCCCTCCTCCGCCCCCCCACACCCCACCTCTGCCCCCCCACACCCCGCCTCCACCCCCCCACACCCCATCAGCGCCCACACACACATCGCCACCGCTCCCCCACCCCGCCACCGCTCCCCCATCCCATCACAGTTCCCCCATCCCGTCATTTTGTTAAATCTCACGTGCTCTTCTTTCAGCAGCATCCAAATCACCATCAGTTCCTGAGGAACAAACTGCTGCTACCAACCTCTCATAGTCGTCATCTACAAATGATCTTTTAAAAACGATCTTCAATTACCTTTTTATCAAACAGATGCATTTTAGGAAATCAAAGAGTGTTATCAAGTCTCACATGAAAAACAGAAGTTACCTGGCACTTACGTTCATAAACACGGACTTACCACATGACTTCCTGAATTGTCCTTTAGACACCACCCCTTACACCACTGTGGTCATCACGTCAGGGTCTGCAGTGTGCTACAAATACCGTCCTATCTTACACTTTTCAATGATTCTGGAGTTAATATTTTTTATCTATTTTCCATTATCCTGGCTTTCAATGTACCTATCGCCAACCCTTTCACAGTTCTTCCACAGAACTGGAAAACTCTTTCCCACACTTTCTCACCCACGATTGAACACTGATAACCTGGTGAGGATCTCTGTTTGATTTTCCTGGAAATCCTCTTGGAGCCCCGCCCCGATCCCCAATGTGCTACTGTCACTGGACCATGCCTTTTCTGCCACTGGCCGTGCTGCTCGTTATGTTGGTCACTCGTTCTCAGCCCCTTGACGCCCCCTCCTCTCCCCACTCTCCCATCCTAAAGGAGCACCTCCAGTGCTTCAGAAAAGGCGGATGAGAAGGAACACCTGGGGGCCCCGCGTGTCCGAAAGTGCTTTTCTCTCTACCCCAGTGAGACTGGGTCTTTCTCCTAGATACGGACTTCTAGGTGAAAGTTACTTCTATTCATTGCCTTTCGTTTCCATTATTGGTGAGACGTTAAACGTCATTCTGATGCTATAATCTTTACATAATATCCATTCTTTTCTCTTCTTTGATAATGTTTTCTTCATTCCTACGGGAGGAGCTGCAAGCCAGGTTGCAATATCTATTCCTTTCTTTTCTCCCTCGATAATCTTTTATGCTGTAAACCAGGTTTTTCTTCTCATGGAGGCACACGACCAAATCTCTCCCCCAGGAGGGCTTCATCAGGGCTGTTTCATTTGCCTGAAGAGTCCTCTCCTCTCCTGTTTCATAACCAAACACAGGCACGTTCATCCCTCTGGGTTGGGCTGTTTTCTCCACACGTGTGCTCTGACCTGGGGCCTCTGTTTTCAGTACCACCCCCAAATCTGGAGCCTCCCCAGTTTAATTTCTCCAGATAACACACATGGCTGGGAAGAGGGGGAAGAGGGGGAAGAGGGGGAAGGGGGGAAGCGGGGGAAGACGTGGCCGCCTGCTTCCTGGACACCGTTCTCTGGGCTCCACATGTACAGCACCCACGGCTGTCCCCCGTGTCTGCATCTTGGCTTTCTCCATTTTGCTAAATGATGAACCACAAATTCCTCTACTTGCTTCTCCTGTGCTGTGGACTTACAGTCACTGACATCTTAGCACAGTTTGGAGAAACAGAGACAAATGCACACTTCCAAGTTGCCAAGTGTAACCAGTGGCCGGACGTTTTTAATGCTTCACCTTCGATCTCAATACCGCATGTATCCAGTCCATGCAAACACGCTTCTTGGGATTACCTCCAACCCTAACCTCCTCTTGGT